CGAGCCGAGCCGACTCTTTTTTTTTAAGGTGTGAAATTCAAAATTTTATTATTAACAATATAATTAAATCCAATCATTTGTTCTAATATTAGACACATCAAGTTACTCGCTTGGCCTTTTAAACTTCGGTCTATATTAAGTCCCTTGTTAGATATAAATAAAAATAATTTTTTTAGTAAAATTTGATGAAATGTATGAATGAAAAATTGAAAAATCTATAAAATATACGATTAAAATTATTTGTTGATTTTTTCTTAAATTTTTATTAAAATTTTTGTTTTTATTATTAACACGGTATACGAGTAGCAAAGGCAATTGTACAACTGCTTTTTTTTTTTTTAAATGAAGCTATACAGCTAGCTGCCTTTACAACCTTTACAAATTTGTAAAGGAAGCTGTAGCTACATACGTTTCAAAACACGAGCCAAAATGGCCCGTGACACGGGTCGGCCCATTTGGCTCGTCGAGCCACACAGCCAGCTCAAGAACAGGCCGATGGCCAAAAATGAGGCTCGACTCAAGCCTTGGCTCGGTTCCCTGAAGCCGCGAGCCAACTCCAGCTTTTCACGGGCCGTCCGAGCCGGTGAGTCGATTTGACATCCCTAGGTAGAAGCATAAGGCATCCAAGGGATTTCTTTAGTTTGGTACTGTGAATACCATGTGTTTTATGCAATGAAAGTTTTGAAATTGATGACCACTTAATCTTCGAATGTCAATTCAGCTAAGCATTCTGGGACCAAGTTTTGAGCAAATCTAGCTTTGGTATGGCTCTATGCTTGGACTTGGGCCCTTAACTAGCTTTGTGCCTATCTGCGTGGGTAGTGCTAATGTCAATGGCAAGAAAGAAATAATAGATATTTCTAAGAGGTGAGAAATTCCAGAACATTAGCCAGCCTGTTCCTCTTTGTATCCAGGGAAGGTGGGCCTCCATCTATAGGTCATAGATAACAGTGGGAATAGGGCAACAGAAAGGTTACCGAACCAGAACCTCAATAGCCTTTTCTAAGAACAAAGCAATTGTAAGCTTTTAAAACCAAACCTCGAATAAGGGTCAATAACATTTGGGTACAAAGAGACTCTAGGGGTCATATATTGTACAAGTGTTTAAGGTGTGAAACAAAATGTTCAATATTTACATAAATGGGTTTTCCTTCCTGGGCATGTTTCTTAGTTCCCCCATCATATTTACATAGGCTGATACTCCTCCTTAAGAGGTCTGTTGTACCCAAAAAAATAAAGAGATGGAACTAATAACTCCACGTCCTAGAATGAAACAGGGACCAGAAGGCAAAGAAGGCATTTTTTTTCTTTTGCCTCACTGAATGCCCGTTCTCACTAATGAGACATCAAAAGTATTAAGTGGGTCCTGTATGGCAAGAAGGATTGGAAAGGCTGAGAAGAATTCCCTTCTGTGAAGGGAAAAAAAAGGCCGATACTGACTATTGTAATTGCCAACTCCAAACTAGATCATTAAATAAATAAGAGTACAAACATGCAAAATCCTGTTCATGGCCCATATATTTCACTTAGAATTTCAATCATAGTAAACACAGTGGCGGATACAGGATTTTGAGTTAACACGGGCGGCCATTGACCGTCGACAGCAATAAAATATTAAGAACCCCGTTTGATGCCCATTTTTTGCAAAAAAATGCATTTTAGAATAATAATTGGATGGAAAATGTATGGTTAAAAATAAAGAAAAGTTTTAAATTTGCATGTAATATTATTTTATTGAAAACTATGTGATTGAAAAAAATAGAAAAAAATGTATTTTGAAAAAAAAAAATCAAATAAGGTTTAAAATTTAAATATAAAAATTATTTTGTACAAATTGAACATATATAATTTTTTATACAAGTTAAAAATACT